GGGGAGGGTTGGGCACGGCGGCTGAGGGAAGGCTGGTACTCACTTGCATTACGGGCTAGTGTTATGCTTTCTGCTGATGATGTTCATCAAATGGAGGATGTTCTAGATAGGCTATTGAGCCTCCGGGACAGTATGATAAGAACTTGTGCAAACATGCGCTCTTTCTTGGATACATTGGCCCAAAACAACGGGGATATCGACGATGGCGCATTGACAGAAGCAGCCGTGAGAGAGTCATTAGAGGAAGCAGTGCTCAGCCCAATGCCTGCAACTAGAGCATCAGTTGAGGCCTTGGAGAAGTTTGTGTTTGATGGAGAGGTGCAACGCGGTTCTAGCAGCGATCAACGTTGTGTGGTTTGCTTGGGAAAGATGTTGAGTGGGGATCAAGTCACTTGCTTGCCATGCTCTCACATGTTTCATGGACATTGCATTGAACAGTGGTTGAGGTATGGTCATGTATGCCCTCTGTGTAGGTTCAAGTTGCCAACTGATTATTGATACAGATATATGGGATTGTTGTGAGAGCTCTTCATCTTTGAATTTCACTTCTTTTTCAGAATTTCTTCAGTTTCCGTTATCTACCTGCGAATGTTAATCTTTCGCAATTCCAGACATGTGGGATTGATTGATACAGAATTTGTATATATCAATATCTCAATTTTCTATGGCTAAAAAGAAATCACACTCATTCTTGCATTAAAATAAATTAATCCATTGATGCAACTTTTTAACAAAAACACCCTCACATCTGTCTTCTTTAATTTCTGTGGACAAACTTTCTTTGTTAATTAAAAATGGAGGTTTTCAATCAACAGTCAGCATGACCATGACCATGGCGTATTTGTGATGGGAGATAATTTCTTGTCAAATTTTAGCTCTCTGTCAAATGTTTCAGTCAAGCTTAACGATTCTTTGCCGATATGGGATGGGATAACTGAGCCCTGCTCTTGAGCTTGAATTTCACTTCTTTAATTTTCCAGAATTATATGCAGTTTAAGTTAATCTACCTTTCATTCCAATTGGTAATCACGCACAACTTTTATTTCTACTCTAAGTCAACAATGAAAACTTATGTTTGGGTTTTTCTTGGGGAAAAAATCTTATTCCCAAGCATTTTTGACCAGAAAAAGAAATTATCATTCCTAGTCATAATGGATTAGGATTATCTTTCCCATTCCTACTGGAGTTCATCATTATAAAAGGAAACTCATACACAGACATCAACCAATTCATTAGCAAAAAAGGTTTATTATTCGCCAAACTCTTTTCCTAAAAGGAAACTAATACTGATTGAGTAATGAAATTGATTTCTTTTCCAAGAATAAACGAAAAATATGAAACAAATAATCCTAATCCTAGTCAGATTGAGACATGGATCACCAATGCATAAAAGGTAGAAAACCAAA